TAGTCCATTTATAAATAAATTGAATAGTATGGGCGATAAGTGACCTCTTTGGGGAGTACCAGATGGGGCAGGGACCGTATTTGAATAGAAGCCGTGTACTTGGGTGAACTGAGACCTATTTGTGAGATAAGATTTAAACCAGGATAACAATGGATGACTAAACCCTAATCTACCCAATATAATAATCAATAATTCATGATCGACACGGTCAAAGGCTTTCGCAAAATCGGTATAAATTACATCCACTTGACAATAATTATCCTTAAAAGCGTTGAGTATGAAATTTTGCAGCTATAAATTACAAGTTAAGATGGACCTCCCCGGTCTAAAACCATGCTGGCTATTGTCTAAAATGTTATTGATTGGTTTATTCATTTGAGCTAAAACCAATTTTTCTAATAATTTACCAATTTGTACTAGACCAGATATAGGGCGATAATTTTCGACATTAGATTTATTGCCTTTTTTGAAAACTGGGGTGACAGAGCTTTTTTTCCAGACAGATGGAAATACCATTTCCTCAAGTGATTTGTTATATAAGATGAATATGGGATAAGCTATGGAATTAGCTAAGTTTGCCAAAAAGTAACCTGAAATCCCATCAGGGCCGGGAGACCTACATTTTATAAGTGTCCGTATACCATCAGATACCTCATTAAGAGAGATACTACATTTAGTGGGGATGATATGATCAAATTGATAAGTAGAGGCGAAAATGTTAGATTCATCAGGTGAATGAACGGGTGAAGTGTTATCTACAGAGGAGAAATAGTCTGAGAATAAATTAGCAATAGCCGCACCGTTATTAGCAGTAGTATTACCTAAGAATGCAGAATTGGGTATACCATGAGACTTAGTATTAAAGTTAACCCAATTCCAAAAATATTTCGGGTTACTTATAATTTCACTTTCTGACCGGTGTATGAAATTATGAAGAACAATTTTAGACTGTGATTTATATTGAGCTCGCAACAATTAGAATTTTTCATAATTTGATTTACTTTTACTTTTTATATAAATTGAATGGGCTTTATTTTTCTTCTAAACAAGAGTTTTGAGTTCTTTATTGAACCAATGAGGGAAATCAAAGGAGGTGCTTATGGTTTTTTGAGGGACAAAAGAGTGTAAAGCTTCTAAAAGTGCGTGTTGGAAAACGAGTTATGCTGTCTCAGTATTGAGGTGTCTAAAAGTATTCAACCAATTAAAAGAATTAAAAAATAGGTTAGCATTAATATAATCACCTTTCTCATAGCTGAAAGTTGTTTTGTCGTTTTTAAGAATAGGCTGGAAGATAGGTAATTGAACATTTATTTGAATTGGAGGGTGGCAAGGGTCAATAGGGACAAACGGGTCATCGTGAATATTTATGGAGTTCTCAAGAAGATTAGAAAACACCAAATCCAGAATATTTCCATGAGCATTATTGATAGAATTGAACTGATGTAGATTTAACAAAGAGCAGCTCTCAATAAGAGAACTTCCTACTTGGGAAGAAAGGAAGTTGACAAACTTAAACCCGTACTTGTCACTTACCCAGGATAGGGAGGGAATATTATAATCATCACAAATGATAAGTTTACAATTCGGAAAAGAAGAGTCAATAGACTCTAAGACTGAGAGGTGATTTAAGTATAACTGTAAGTCACTATTTGGTGGAAGGTATACAGCACAAAAAATAATCAAAAGGTCACCGACTATAACTTTGACAAAGACTTGTTCTACGTTTAAAGTATCAATATTGAGCAATGTGGAATTAAAAGTTTTTTTAATAGCGACGTGAACTCCTCCACCACGACTATGAAGACTAGATGTTTCGGTTCTATCACATCGAAATACGTTATGCTGGGTGAAGCCTAACTCATTGTCAAAGAAAGTGTTATTTAACCAAGTCTCAGTAAATATTATAAAATCATGAGTAGATGAAGGTATTGAACATTTTGATAAATTTAATTTGGTTCTTAGACCACGGACATTTTGGTAGTAACCAGAGAGACGGGAATTAATACAGACAGAAGGCTTATTAAAACATTCATTTGATTTATGATTATTGAACATTGATTTTAACTTACTAATATAACTATGACTATTGGGCTTCACCCTACCATTTAGTTTTTTTTTAATATTTATAATTTTAGGAATTCCATTGAAGTATTGAACTTTTATATCCTTTTCCGTTGCCTCGAATCTGTTCTTGAAATCCACGTATACTTCCTTTATGTGGCGGCGTTCTGCCTGAGTGCGGTCTTTGACGAGGGAGATATTATGTACAGCGGTTGGAGATTCACGTTTTATTTTCATAAAGGACGTTAAAACTCTATCAGCATCACAGGGATTCCGTAAAATCAACTTAATTGGCCTTTTATTTGATGAAGATGGATGACCCAATCTTGAAATGTTAGCTATTACATCCGAATTGATAGATAGTAGGGTAAAAAGCTCGTTAATTGTATTGTTGTCGTGAATTATACGCTCTTTAGCTACCGTTTCAGCAGATTCCTTAATACCATGTAAGATAACGTTAAGAGAGCGCTTTTGGAAATCAAAACCTCATTCCTGACAATCAGGGAAAAGTCCATAGAGTTAGTGTCCAAAACTGATTTTTGGGTTTCTAATGCTTCAACCCTGTCTTCGAGACGCTGCGCTTTATTTTGACACTCAGCTAGAGCTGAGTTTAATTTGTCTAAATGCGTTGATAAATCGTCAATACGAGAATTAATTAATTTAAAGCTTTTGTCCTGATTAGAAGACAACGTACTAATCATTTTAGCCAAGTCACCTAATGTAAGAGTGTTATTAGATTTAACAGCATCTACTGTTATTTTTGGCGTATTAGGCATAGTTATAGAGTGTATAGGACAGGTCCAATTGCTGTTTTGTTTTTTGTAGAGTGTAAGAGACTTAGGTGGTATATCCAGACAAGATGAATGGTAAAGGGTAAAACAAATCGAACAACCAATTTATGATGAATGTCGTGGAACGGCGGTGTTGCATACAGGACAATTGGATGGCATTAATCAATTATAAATATTCCGCGTTTCGTATAAGACGTGGATTGAAACCATTAAGACGATGTTAGGTAGGTAAAGTATGCTCTCAACGGTGGGCAATGAGAGCGTATTGCGATAAGTGAGAGTATAATAAAAATAATATTTATAATTAAATTAAGACCTTTATGTGGAGAACGTTGGATCGGCGATAACACCACAATGACACAGCGGAAACAGCGCGTATAATATACTAATATGGCACAACTGACAAAGCACAGATAAAATAAATATAAACGGATAATAAACAGCGTAATATTATCTAGAAAGAACTAATGACTGCGATAAAAGGTACGGAGAGAACAAACATACGTCTCGTCTCAACCGTGGTCAAAACTGTACTGAAATATGTAGCTGATATTAGGTTTCATAGATTTCCTAAAAATCCTTTTTACCAACAAAAATGGAGTAGTGTTTGTAATAGGAAAAATCTAAACACTAAAAACGGTAAGGAAAATGTGGTTGTCAATAGTATGATTTTATTTTGAATACAATATGAAAATTAACATTTTAGCCTATATTTGTTCATTGCATTTTGATGCTGATGCATATTGCAAGACATTAATTGAATCACTTTTAAACTATTCACCAGTGCATAAAAGAAAATTAAAAAGTGATGCTGTTCCTACGTTAAAATTAAATAAATTATCTTATGATAATTCTAGAAGACTACATATTTTCTAGAAACAAGGTTGTTAATGTTTGTAATACAATTGTATAATTCTAAATTTTAAAATTCAAAATTCTATGCTAAATTGTATACACAATTATATTGAGGGGAAAGGAGTAGTACTGGTCAACAGAGCAAAAACAGATATTGTAGTATAGATATGTTATTGAATCGATAGTTAAAAACATAGATATTTTCTACTTCTTTGATTTGAATGTATACATTATTTTATTTTTCTTGCATAGTGGAGTGAATTCTGTCGACAAAGAATTTGAGTATATCAATTCTCCTAGTTCAGATTTTAATCAAAGTTTTCTCGAGATGCCAGCTGAAATAAGTATATTAAAATATAATTTATTTCTCTAGATACAATAAATGATTTTACCGTAACTTTATAGTAATACATTCCAATATACCTGAACAACAAATAAAAAAGTGTCTAACTTATTATGAAGAACATAAGGACAGTAAAAATACAGATCTAAATGACCTAGGATGTAGAATTCTATCAGATCAAGATTAAGGCCTTTTGAATCTTTCTAAATTAGATTAAATATTAAATTATATATTTTAGATTGAAGGCAAATACAATACATGACGATTACCACAAAGCAGAAATAAAAAGTATATATATATTTTTTTTACAAATTACAATTATTACTTTATTTTATTTTTGACCTACTTTTAGATTAAAACGCTTACTTGAAATATCAAATTCCGAAAACGAGAAAATGAAAAAAAGAATGTACAAGTTTAAAAAATATTATAGCTCATCAACAAAATAAAATAATTTTAAACAAAGAACGCGTACAAAATGAGAAAGACAATCAGGATAAAACTCTTGAACTCATATTTAAAGAGAAACTTTTCAAATTATTTTCACCAACACAAATATCTATGTTATGGTCAAATAAGAGTAGAGTATTTGCATGGACTAATGATGATATAGCATCAGCAATTTCATTAAGAAGTGTTTCTCCGAAAGCCTACAGATACTTACGGGATAAAAAAAATTAGAATAATAAACTAAAGTAAATTATTAGAAAATAATCGTAAAAACAATTTTAGGTCTTTGAACTTGGACTAAACAGTTTTCTGTTGAACAAGGACTTTTGACTGATGTAATGTCCCTTTTGAAGAGTAAAGGTAACATTAAAAAACAAAATATATAAATAGGACATTTCAAATAAATAATTGAATATTTTGATCATTTAACAGCATTATCCTTGACAAGAAATGAAAAAATTGTAATATTATCATTTGATGAAACGTATGTGTTACATAAGATGTGTTATGACAAGGGCAATGAACAAATTTTAGGACCACAAAAATGTGTTCAAGTTGTAATGGCCAGAGGTGAATATTAATATTAATATTTATATTTCATTAGTTATTATTATGAATAATGTATATTAATAATATGTTCATTATTATTATTATTATTATTAGGGCTTATTCAACAATGGAAACAACCCATATTTTATTCATTTGATACAGCTATGACAAAAGATATTCTAATGAATATAATTAGTAATTTACATCATGTAGGATATGAAGTAGTAGGCCTAGTAAGCGATATGGGACCAACCAACATTGGCTTATGGAAGGCATTAAATATAAAACCTACATCACCTTCATTTGAAAATCCTGAAACAAAAAAAAGGGTGCATGTATTTGCCGATGTCCCTCATCTTATTAAACTTATGAGAAATCACTTTATTGATAAATGATTTATTTTACCCGATGAAAGCTATATTGGTAAAGAAGTTATTGAACAATATATAATATGTGTAGCAGCAAATTCTGATTACAAACTTGCACATAAAATATCAGAAAAACATATAAATGTAGTAGGAACACTAAGGCAAAATGTAAGGCTGGCTGTGCAATTATTTTCAAACATTGTATCCAAGGATACTCTATCCAAGGTATCCTCTAATACTGTGGAGAAAAACAAATTATTAAAAATAATAATTGGGAGAAGGTTAAAGTTAAAAAAATATGTAGGTAATTGACCATTGTTTTGTATAATATACATAATATACATGTATATTTACATAAATTACATGTATATTTACATAAATTTTACGTAAATATGTATATTTTAATAATTAAAAATGGTTTTAAATGTTTTAGGCTTCATCAGTGTTTTCTTTAATAAATGATTGGTTTGACCTACTAAATACACAATTCCCAGTAGACAAATTTACTAAGAGCTATGGAATGGATTTAGATTCACAAAATTCAGTTTTAGATCAAATGGATTACTTTATTACAAACATGAAAGTCTATGGTTCAAAACGAAGATTACCATTTCAAACTGTTAACCTTATTAATTATTTATTTTAATTTAATTTAAATAATCAAACAAATTATTTATCTAGGCATACTATACTCCGGCCGGAATAAGAACGTACCCGGGCGGCGGACCAAAACAACTTTGCAGCGCGCAGATCATAGTGACATAGTTATGACTATAACTATATGTTTATAACTATGACAAGGTTGCGAACGGGAAACCGGTCGCCGCCTGCGCGACGAGGTACGTTCTTATTCCGTCCGGAGTATAGTAACCAATGCATCTCTAAGAAATCTTCTATCAGATTTAAAGATGGAATACAGTGATGTATATTACATAATAACTAGGAGACTAAATTCTGACGTTTTAGAAAATTTTTTTAGTTTTATTAAAGGGATGATTGGTTCAAGTACTCATATTTCTCCACTAGAGTTTAAATATTGGTCTGTTGAAGAAAGTTTTTGAGCAAATATCCAAGTCTAGGCGAAAAAGTTGGTAATGTGATAGGATCTGATTCCTCTTGGACCGAACAAATGTCAAAAGGTAATTTGATTAAGCCTTCAAAAAGTATGATACAAGTGGCAAAAGTACTTGAAGTTGTTTTTAATGAATATCATACCAAAAACACACTGAGAAAGACTCCAGGTACCTATGCATATTATATTATATATTTTATAGAAATATTAAAGCTGTATTTATTGATTTTCAATTCAATACATTTCTCCGGGAGTCATGAAGAATGTCAGAGACATATTAGTAAGTAAACCGCAGAATATAGTTGAGATTCCAGTAGAAGTCTTAGAATGTATGGTACGCACGAGGACATTCATACGGTTAAATAGTATGAATAGACAACTGATGGACAAAGTTATTTCTACAAAAAACAAAATTAAAAAATTTGTATCGTAATTTTCAAATATACCAATTGATTGACCATTAAATTAATCATAGATATTTACTTTCATTAGCAGTTAGCACAGATCTTTGGGAATCCTCAATATTTTCTCGCATAAATTGCTATTTTTTATTGTCTATTTTTATTTATTGGTACATTCTATAATTTTTTTCAGCTAAAAAAGATGCAAATAGACAAGTTACATCACAAATTTAGTTTAAGTCATGACAAAGTACTATTTTGTCATGGTTTAAGTCCTATAGTACTATACTTATAGTCCAATACTTAGTACTTACAGCAAGACGTAAATAGTGTTAGGTAATACATTAGGTATTAATTGAGTGAAATAATTGTTAAGTCAAAAGTGTAAATTATTTATTTTTTATTACTACAAATTACAATATTGTGTGTTGTTGATAAGCAATTATTTAATACTGATAACAAATCCTTGGCGGATGACGTAGATATGATGCGTATCACTGAGTTGCTGACATACCTAGTTAATTAATCATGCATTTTCTGAAAGGCGTCAGGATTAATGTGAATATCTGTTAATTTAGGGGCTAATCGATTTAAACCTTGATCTGATTTGTAGAATTGAGTAAGGTATTTTTTATCTGTTATGCTGTTTGAAAATGTTAAGTTGTATTTGAAGAAATTATTTCTGGTGGACTTAAATAAATGCGGTACGTCAAATATATAAAATATTTTTTTTTCCATTGACAAAGTAAAAAGGTCGTTGACTTCAGACTTGACACATTCATAGTGTTTGCAAAACTGGTAAAATTGGATCTTTGGTCGGTTGTTACAGCCTTAATATTTATTGATATACTTTGAAGTTTGGTAATTACATCAAAGATGGTATTTTGAAGATCAATCCCAGAACAACTATTGTTTATAAAATAGTAAGCGACAGGTTTTTTCCACTCATGATTCAAACTTCTCAACATAAAGAACAATACGTGTTTTGCTAGTTCGTAAGACTTTGTGTTATTTGAGTTATTGAATCCTATTATATAATCCTGGGATAATTTATAATATAAATGGGAATTAATAGACATTTCGTCAATACACAAAATGCAATCCTTCGCATCATCCTTCATATTTTTTATTTTTAGGTCCATCGTTTCAAATAAAATATAATTTAATCCTAGCCTTAGTTCTATTTGTTCTGTAATTCTAAGTAATGTTCTGGTACTAGGTGATTGTAAAATAGATTTTAAAAATCTATATGCTTGAGGACCGTAACCTTGTAATTTCTTCTTGGCCATTTGCACATAATGTTTTACTAGCATAGATAAATTTGCAGGTAATTTGGAATCACAAGCTTGATAAAAGTGTTGATCTGACGACACAATGTCTTTTACCTGGTTGGAAAGTGTTTTAAATTTTTCTTCTAATTGCTGACATCTATTTCTGAGCTCTTTAACTTCCACTTTGAGCTTTCGTTTCCTAGGAGTGTTTAGTGACAAGAGCTGTATTGTTTGGGAAGATGTTCAAAGTCTCAAAACTGGTGATGTCCCAGATTCATTACCTAAAAAAATTATATTATTATTTATTAGTCCATTATCTAGACATAATTCATAGTATCGATGACTATAATTCGGGCGTTTGCTAGAAAAGTAGAAGGACTCAATATCGGGTTACGAATACTTTTTACATAGTACGATTCTTGAAACGATGTATACATATTACCTATACAATAAGGTAAAATTATTTTTAGTAAAATCAAAATTCAAATTATCGTATGGATAAGCTATCGAGTTCAGAAATACTTTAACGTTTGCTAAATTGCAAGGGTTAAATATACTACAATCTTTCGTTAACACATTTTTGCGTCCTTTTTGTAATCCAATTATGATAAATCGTAGTTTTTCTAATTTTGAAGCAGTTTTCAAATGCCATACAACTTTTTTAGTGGTTCCGAGTTCAGGATATTGAAAAGTTTCAAAAGATCTAAAAGGGATAAATAGACTTTTTTCTTTTTCTATAAGTTTCATAAATTTTAACCTTTCTTCATCGTCAACAGTGATATGTGGGACCTTCCAGACTATTTTGTTTAAAACGACTTTACCTTCAGTACCAGTTTTACAAGTTAAAGCATTTAAATCTCTATGACTTCGAGTTAATATTAATTCCAATCTAGAATTCACCAATATTCTTTTATAGTCTTCAAAAAAACCTAATCAATATTTCAATGGAATTCAAGCACTAAATTCACCTTTTTCATTTTCCGATTGCGTTGCGTTTTTAAAATTCCAACCAGAATTTTCATAACAATTATAGTTGTGTGGTGAACAGGATAAGTATCCTTTCAACGAGCCAGTGATTCCAAGAACACGTGTGCTATCTACTTCTATCCCATTGATTTTCAATCGTATTTGTTCGAAGAGGTAAGAGTAACCGTTATTAGATAGTTTCACTTTGGTAACATCAGTAATTGTTCCTTCCAAAAAAATAAAGCTTTCTTGTAGATATGAATAGACATCGGTTTGCTGGATTGATATACGTATTTCATCATTATTATTAAATGATGTTGTATACGGTGTGTATGAATGATATTCAATTTTCGTAATTTTAGAATCCGTTTCGTACTGTGAAGTTATATCTAAAATATCACTTTTAGCATTATTCTGCTTTAATTGATAACCTAGAGCTTGTAAAATTTTTTTATTTTATTTGATGTTGCTTGTAGCACTTTAGTCGTATGACTAGTTGTACTGACCCGAAGTAGTGGGTTTATATTGAATTTTAATCCCATCTCAAGACCCGTAACGTTTAATATGTAAAACAATTGACAATGTCTCACCAAAATTATCAATCAGATTATGATCTTGATCAACTAACTGAACGGTTATCGTATCAATATTTGATTTATTCAATTTGTAGTATATTAAATTTGGTGGTGACTGTACTACTTTCGATCCTGACGTTTCACAAGGGAAAAACTCATAAATCGAATGACTTTGGAGATGGTTGTTGAATGATTCTTGAGCTATACTGCACATTACTTTTATAGAATTAATTGTGTTTAAATTCACAGCTTTTTCCGATCGATGAGTAGATAAGAGTCTTTCATGCTCTGGCTTATATTCTCGTTTTTCAAAACTCAATACAGGTGCTATGCTATTTAAAATCTCGAAGTGTAGTATTCCATTACATTATACAGGGTGATTCTTTTATCGTTGAACACTCATTATCTCGAAAAGTATTAACTTTTTTAGATTTTTTTTTTTTTTAATTTTAGTTTTATGTATTTCTACATTTGTATAAATGTTTTATATTTTTCACTCTTATATTAATTAGGAAAACTACTATCAACTTTTGATTTTCAAATGGTAACCTATACTTAAAATTTCATAAATTAATAATGCTATTTTTTTTATGAATTATCACGTTTAAATTTTAATTTTTCGTTAATCCGTTGATGAGATATTGTTCTTCAAAGTTGAGTTGTTCTGGGAGGTATTTGTGTGTAAAGTAAATATTGTGTTGTATCTCGTCAGTAGATACCGCAGTTATTACGATTTTTATGC